CGGCGCCGAAGCCCAGCGCCGCTGCCTGGGTTCGGTTACATAACCGGCCGGCTGCACCCCCGCTCGCTTTCCTGCGCCGCCCCCCAAAGTTGGCAGCCCTTGTTTTTGGCCCTGTCCCGAGGTTGTCCGTTGAGATTATGTAACTGAACAATGGGCCTCGTCTGGAACTTTTTCATCTTACAAAGGGGCCGATCGGCCCGTCCAGGTGGCCGAGGATTTGCCGCCTGTTGAGTCCGGGCCGCCCCGAGCGTCAGCCTCGAGTGCGGCATCGATAACGCGGTTTGCGAGGATGCTGGAGGGTACTGGCTCGGCCACCTGACACCTCCCGAGCCATATGGTGCCTTTTAAACGCGGTGATCGGGCCTGTAATTTGGGCGGCGCAGGCAGAAGGAGTTAAAAAAAAAATTGTCCTGCGCTGATCGTGTCGTGTCGTGTGGCGTTGATGGGGGGAAAGTCTGGGGCATGCAGGGAGACTGCGCTTGTACTTGGGAGTAAAGGCTGGCCTTCCAAGCATTTGCAGTCCTAGAAACTCATCCTTATCCGTAAGTCCAGGTAGCGCTGAAGCCTCTTTCTGGACAAGGTCTTGGCCTAGCGTTTGTTTATATCGTTGGGTTTGCAGTGCCCAGAGTTTGGCCGACCTCCGTGCGATTAGGAACATCCTACTGTTGATAAGGTATCTTAAAGAAGGAGGTGTTCAGCACCTGTGTTTTGAATGGCCTTCCAGTACTCTGCAGATTACCACTTATAAAACTGCGGATTTTAAAGCTGATACTTCCAGAGATTAAGACAAGCCTCGCATTTGTAAGATTAATATGGAAAATGCACCTTTTAAAGTGAGTTTGTTTTGTTTTCAATGTACCGTTTGTCATCAGCCTCAGGAATATGTGTGCTTTTGAGCTTTACGGTTTATTGGCCGACTTGCTCAAGGCAAAATCCCACTGGAAGTGAGGGGAGGAGTCCAGTGAAGGTGGTTATCCAAGCCCCATTTAGATGGGGGAGGGGAGCTTTTATGAGGCTCTCGGACTGCTTTCTATTTTTGGATGGGTTGAAATAATTTGTTAACTTTTAGCCACTAGAATGAACTTAGTTTTAGGCAGCATTCATATTCTTTTTAGGGTTAGAGGCAGATTTTCCTTGGCTATTTTTTTCCAGAAAAGGTAGTTAATACCCCGCTTCAGTCTTCCTAAATTAGCCACAATTTATTTTGCTCGAACTCTAACAAAGGCTTGTGTGTCGCTTTGACCTACGCATTCAGCCATACGAATAAGGCTTGTTGAAGGTTAGGTTGAGAAGGCTGAGGATAGGACTTAGATCCTAAAAATTGTATTTGTATTTTTCCTTCCCTAGAGTTTGCTCTCCAAAGCTCGAGGAATTGATTCCAGCTCTGTGAAGCTCCGGGGTAGTTCTCTCTTCATGGATACAGAAAAATCAGGAAAAAGGGAATTTGATGTGCGACAGACTCCTCAAGTGAATATTAATCCTTTTACTCCGGATTCTTTGTTGCTTCATTCCTCAGGACAGTGTCGTCGTAGAAAGAGAACATATTGGAATGAGTAAGTCGTTTATTTAACAATTTGGTTATCCAAATAACCTAAGATTGGTTTGGTATACTTATCAAAATTTAGTTTCTCTTAAATGGCGTGGATGTATCTGTCAGATATATTGATAGAAAAATACATATTTTTTCAGTTCCTTTGGTGAAGACATGGAAGCCAGTGATTATGAGCTTGAAGATGAAACAAGACCTGCTAAGGTAAATAGCTTTTTATTTTTTTTTGAAATTTACCTTTCTACCACTTAAAGTATGCTATGAATATGTTAAATAAGCATTTATACATAAGGTAGAATGGTCTTTAAATTTCACACATAGCCCTATCACCATAGCAAAAAATAATTGTTTTCGTATATTTGTATTACATATATGGAAACACTTTTTATTACAGAGAATTACAATTACTGAAAGCAATATGAAGTCCCGGTATACAACAGAATTTCATGAGCTAGAGAAAATTGGCTCTGGAGAATTTGGTTCTGTATTTAAGTGTGTGAAGAGGCTGGATGGATGCATTTATGCCATTAAGCGATCAAAAAAGCCATTGGCCGGCTCTGTTGATGAGTATGTATTAAACATTTTGTCTTTTGCTCTTTTGTCCCCTATGGTGTTACTAACATTAAGGTTTCAGCTGATCAAACACTGAATTCCATCTCTAACTTTGAGAAGTTGTAATGATTTAATCAGGTCTTTTTCACTTAGTACCATCAGTTCTTATTGGACTTGTTGAATAATATGAGTAGTGTGATTTGGAACCTAACTTAAATTTCTTATTTCTAGTCAGCATCCATGAATTCACAGTAAAATGGAGTTTATTCTTACCTGAGTCCTAGGGCAAGCAACATTTCTTCTTTCTGATAAATCTTTAGTGGAATCTGCCTTTGGAAAAATCTCTTACAAGTCTAAACCCCTTCTCTCTTAAGCAAGTTGCTTTTTAGCATAACAATAGATACAAAAGTTTATTGTATGAAGTTTCAGATAAATTAATTCAGTTTAAGCTTGAGTGAAAATTATTTACCATTCTATTAATCTCAAATTCTCCTAGGCAGAATGCTTTGAGAGAAGTATATGCTCATGCAGTGCTTGGACAGCATTCTCATGTAGTTCGATATTTCTCTGCGTGGGCAGAAGATGATCACATGCTTATACAGAATGAATATTGTAATGGTGAGTGATGTAATGGTTTTCTTGTGAGTTTGAGAAAATGAACACCGAGGAAGTATTTATGGTTATCTAAAATCTTGCTCTATTTCTGTCACTTTTATCTTTTATAAATTTAAAGATCAGAGGCCTAACAAATTTCAAGTACAAGATTAAAAACCTTGTCCCTTCTGAAGCACCTAGTACATACCCAGTAGTAGAACTTTGCGTACTATTTATGTGCTTATCACTCCAACTGAACTTTTTGAGAAGACAATGGCCTCGCCACATATACTTTGGTGTCCTTAGTACCTAGCATAGTGTGTGGGGCATGTAGTATTATGAAATGTTATGTTGAATAGATTCTTCTGTGTCTAGTCTTTTATTTCCTTTTCGTGTGGTGTGGTGCTAAAACTGATGTTTGTTAGTCAGTGAGTCTCCATTGATCTAAATTCAGCTGTTTCTTTAAGCGTTCTGTAGTCCTGCCCTACTCCCATGTGTCCAACCTAGTCTACCACTAGAATCCACTAACACTTTTATTATGTTACATTATTTTAGTTCTCTAGCTTGTCTTCTCTGCCTTCTCTCCCCCAAGGATGAAACAAACAGGCATGTATGGATGCAACTTTGGATGTCTCTGTATAGCTTTCAGTTTCAGTAAGTCCTTCAAGGGCCGACTTACGTCTGTCCTTTTCTATTAAAAATCTTTACCAAAGTCTTGGTCAGAATTCTGGTTCTTATGGACGTCTGTCATTATTATACACCAAATCTTTTATAGATTATTTCTCAACATTTTGTAGTTATAAGCATGATGATTGGGTTTTCATACTCAAGTGTGAAATGTGCCTCCCTCTAACCTTGTTACAACATCAGCACATTACCAGTCTGAAATGAAAAATATCTATAGATTCTGTTTCTGTATATCTTTTGTGAATATAGAGAATTTAGAGTTTAGTGAACAGTTGAGAGGAGATAACAAAGATTTATTTTTGTTGATTCTTTTTATTCCTTAAATAAACAAGACCAGTTATCTCATAACTTGTAAATAAATAAGTGGTGTAGGTATGGATTCAGGTCCCCCATATTTAAAAACAGTGAACAAAACAGAAGTAAAAGATCCATTTTTCAAACCTGATTCCTCGTTAAGTTATTTAATAAAGTTCTCCACACTTGAAAGAACTTGAGTGTCTAGTATACAGCATTGCTGCTAGTTTTTTTCACACAGCTCTTGAGATGTTTCTATTCATACCATCAAAATATTTATGTAACTATCACAACCTTATGGATTATTCTATTTCTTAACCTTTATTTTTCAGATATTGCATTTGACCTAGAACAACTTGACCATAATGTCATGTCCATTCCATATTTGCTAGACACCATCTCTTTTCAGTTTCCTTTTTTCTCTTTCTCACCTTGTTGATGTGAATAGTTCTCTTAACAGAATAGTTCATTAGTAGTCCAGGAATGGCAAATATGTAGCAACCTACCAGTACATGGTTGTGTAAATCAGATGATTTTGAGAAAACTTACTTGAGCCTGGGAGATAGGGAAGAGTGACTAGTCTTGCTGTCCTCTCAGATTACAAAAACCTTGACCTGTAATAATGTTAGATTATAAATAATCTATCGAAAATAAGTTTTTATTTAATTTATTATTTTGTTTTGAGACAGAGCCTTGCTCTGTCACCTAGGCTGGAGTGCAGAGCAAGCTCTGCTCACTGCAACCTCACCTCTGGGGTTCAAGTGATTCTCCCATCTCAGCCTCCCGAGTAGCTGGGATTACAGACACGTGCCACCATGCCCAGCTAATTTTTGTATTTTTAGTAGAGACCGGGTTTCAACATGTTGATCAGGCTAGTCTTGAACCCTGACCTCGTGATCCGCCTGCCTCAGCCTCTTAAAGCAATATAAGACTCTTGAAGAAAATAAGTAGTCCTGCGTGAAACAGGACTGCCTCTTTGTGTGGCTATTTGTCCTAGTTAGATAAAAGAAAATAAGACTATCTGAATGCATTTGTGATCTCTTCCTTTTGTTTCCTGTGTCCACCATTCCTCTTTCCACATGAAGCTTTGAATATACTAATAGGGCTCATCTTCACATCTTTTCCACAGTTTCACAGGAAAATGATTCTGTTATTTGTACATGAGTAACTGATTCCCTTTATTGCGATTTAATTTCCTTATTATCTTATTCACTTACATTATAAGCCTTTTATCTTGGTTTGGTGATAGATTGGAATTAGCCTGTATAAACAAGTGTAGAAAAATGTTGATGGATAGGGAAAGAGAACCTGAAATGTCAGACCCTGTTTTACTCTCGTCACCTTTCTTGCCCTTCTAGCAATAAAAGAAGAAATTGGCACAGCTAAGGTTGCTGAATCTGCTAAAAAAAGAATTAGCCATATTCTTTCTAGCAAATTTGATCTAGGACTTTGCCTGTCTTGGCTGACAGTGTTATTGGTTTGCTCTCTTCTAGAGCACTCTTTTCCCCCCCTCAGTTCAAGATTTGTACAAGTAAGGAGAACATACTCAAGACTAAGATACCGAGATGGTAATTTATTTTTATTTTAAAAACACGTTTGACATTATATTATTCAGTCTTATTTAAATTGTAGGACCTCCTTTTCTGACTAATACATCATTGACCTTCCTAATTTTATTACCCAGATCTGATTTTTTTATTCCTAAGACTTAAACAGAAGATGTTTAAAACAATTCCTCATTGCCTTTGAGATAAAATATAAACTTTAAAAGTTTGAAAAAATATAAACAAATTAACTGATTGATTTAACTAATTCTATAAAAGCAGGTTATAGTCTCATTCACAGTAAGAGTAGTATAAATTAATAAATTAAAACTATACTAAAATACTGACTTTTTACCTATAACATTTATAGACTTGTCAAGGGTATAGGGAAACAGGTATTCTCATGCATTGACAATGGGCATATATATTGGTACAGCCTTCTCGATGGAGAAATGTGTATGGGTAAAACACACAATCTCCATATATTACAAACGTGCATACCCTTTAACCCAGCAATTTGGCTTCTAGGTGATATACTAAATGTATGTGAAATGACCAATGTACAAGGTTATTTATTAGGCCATAGTATGTAATAGCAAAGACTTGGAAATAATTTTAAAATGTCCATCAAATGGGGGACTGATAAATGCATTTCTTTTTTTTTTTTTTTTTGAGACTGAGTCTCACTCTGTCACCCATGCTGGAGTGCAGTGGCCTGATAGCAGCTTACTGCAACCTCCACCTCCCAGGTTCAAGCATTTCTCCTACCTTAGCCTTCTGAGTAGCTGGGATTACAGGTGCGCGCCGCTGCGCCCGACTAATTTTTGTATTTTTATTAGAGACGGGGTTTTGCCATGTTGGCGTGGATGGTCATGACCTCTTGATCATGACTTGTGATCGAACTCCTGACCTTGTGATCCGCCTGCCTCAGCCTCACAGAGTGCTGGGATTACAGGTGTGAGCCACCGTGCCCAGCTGATAAATGCATTTCTATTCAATTATACAATGGAATTCTATAGAGACAAGAAGAAATGGGTTGTCTTTGTATATTGGTATAGAAGGATCTTTAAGATAATAAACATATGCCGTTATTTATGCAAAAAGTTGAAAAGAATACATAGACCTGAGCTGGGTGTGGTGGCAATGCCTGTAGTCCCAGCTGCTTGGGAGTCTGAAGCAGGGAATTTGAATTTGGGTTTGGGAATTCTAGGCTGTAGTGCGCTATGCCGATCTAAGTTGAGCATCAGTATGGTGGCCTCTGTGGAGTGGGTCACCACCAGGTTGCCTAAAGAGGAGTAAACTGGCTTAGGTCGGAAACAGCACAAGTCAAAACTCCTGTGCTGATAAGTAGTGGGATCAAGCCTGTGAATAGCCACGCATTCCAGCTGGGCAACATAAATAGACTCTGTCTCTTATAAATTAAAACAAAAAAACAAAAAACCCTGATAATACTGGTTTACTCTGGGAAAGAAACAGGTGGGTTGCTGAGGTGTATGATTGAGAGAGAGACTTTACATTTTATTTTGTACCCATGCAGATGTATTACCTATTGAAAAAATAAAATTTTGATTTCACAAGCAGGTTGAAGGGAGAAGGTCCTATAAAATAACACTTTCTTGGTTGAGATTGGTTGGTTGAGACTCATTCAGTAAAGATGGAAGAAAGAAAATATTTCAGAAAGAAGAAAATGCTGATATTTTCTATTTTTGTCAGGTGGAAGTTTAGCTGATGCTATAAGTGAAAACTACAGAATCATGAGTTACTTTAAAGAAGCAGAGTTGAAGGATCTCCTTTTACAAGTTGGCCGAGGCTTGAGGTATATTCATTCAATGTCTTTGGTTCACATGGATATAAAACCTAGTAAGTATTGCAGATCTTCTGACCTGTGTTCTTTGGGGTTATAGAGAACAAATTACTTCATTATGACAACATTGAAAAAATATGTATCTTATGTTTTCTCATTGTTAGTTTTAAAAGGCCTTGGATCCACTTACCAATATTGTTTTATGATTTCTGTTTATCTCTTCCCTTGTTAACCCCCAAAATTTGAGATGATAAACTTTTTTGGCCTCCAGGCCGGAATGCAGTGGCACCATCTCCACTCACTGCAACCTCCCCATCCAATGCTCAAGCAGTCATCCCACCTCAGTCTTCCGAGTAGCCGTGCTACAGCCATGTGCCACCATGCCCAGCTAATTCTTTGTATTTTTAGTAGAGACGGGGGTTTCACCATGTTGGCTAGGCTGGTCTCAAACTCCTGACCTCGTGATTTGCCCACCGTGGCCTCCCAAAGTGCTAAGATTACAGGCGTAAGCCACTGTGCCTGGCATGTGTTTTATTTTCAAAAGAGAAAAATATCTTTGGACTTAAGGCAGTAAATGTGAATTCTTAAGGAATAGCTGTATTCATATAAAGTGTTAGACAAATATAATAGACCTTTATACGGTATAAAAGTTGAAAATATGAAGGGATGTGAAGTTTAAAAATCTTCAGATTTAGGCCAGGCACAGTGACTGACACCTGTAATCCCAGCACTCTGGGAGGCCGAGGTAGGTGGATCACGAGGCGGGAGTTCGAGACCAGCCTGGACAATGTGGTGAAACCCCGTCTCTACTAAAATTACAAAAATTAGCCGGGTGTGGTGGTACGTGCCTATAGTCCCAATTACTCGGGAGGCTGAGGCAGAAGAATCGCTTGAACCCAGGAGGCGGAGGTTGCATTGAGCAGAGATCGCACCATTGCACTCCAGCCTAGGCGACAAAGCGAGACTCTGTCTCAAAAAAAAAATTGGCCTGCATGGTGGCTCACACCTGTAATCCCAGCACTTTGGAAGGCCGAGGCAGGCGGATTGCCTAAGCTCAGGAGTTCGCCACCAGTGTGGACAACACAGTGAAACCCCATCTCTACTAAAATACAAAAAATTAGCTGGGCATGGTGGCAGGTGCCTGTAGTCCCAGCTACTCTAGAGGCTGAGGCAGGAGAATTGCTTGAACCCGGAAGGCAGAAGTTGCAGTGAGCTAAGATCACACCACTGCACTCCAGCCTGGGCGACAGAGCGAGACTGTCTCAAAAAAAAAAAAAAAAGAAAAACTTCAAATTTACAAATACCATCATAAAATAAGTTGTCCTATGAAGAAAGTAAAACTGTATAGATGACTCCAGTAAATGTAACATAAATTTAATACTATATATTTTTGTGTATGTGTGCATGTGTATATATATATATTTTTTTTCTTTTTTCTTTTTTTTTCTTTTTTCTTTTTTTTTTAGACAGAGTCTCGCTCTGTCGCCCAGGCTGGAATGCAGTGGCGTGATCTCAGCTCACTGCAACCTCCGCCTCCCAGGTTCAAGCAATTCTTCTGCCTCAGCCTCCCTAGTAGCTGGGATTATAGGCGTGCACCACCATGCCCAGCTAATTTTTGTATTTTTAATAGAGACGGGGTTTTGTCATGCTGTCCATGCTAGTCTTGAACTTCTGACCTCAAGTGATCCACCCACCTTGGCCTCCCAAAGTGCTGGGATTACAGGTGTGAGCCACCACTCCCGGCCTTATTTTTCAAAGATAGTCTCACTCTGTTGCCCAGGCTAGAATGCAGTGGTGCAATTATAGCTCACTGCAGCTTTGAATTCCTTGGCTCGAATGAACTTCCTGCCTCAGACTCACAAGTAGTTGGGACTACAGGCGTGCACCACCATTCCCAGCTGTTTTTATTTTTTCTTTTTCTTTTTTTAGAGACAGGGTCTCACTATCTTGCCCAGGCTGCTCTCAAATTCTAAGTCTTAGGCAATCCTTCTGCCTCAGCCTCTCAAAGCACTGGGATTACAGTCTTGAGCCACCATAACTGGCCAATACTATACTGATAAAACTATTAAAATCTGCCACTAAAAGCTCATGTTAGTCATGATCTTACCTGAATTTGAAGAAAAAGGTAATGTGTATACAGTAGGAAATAGTGAATCACAAAGCCATATTGCAAGGTAGATGCCGTATGGTCAGCCAGACTCACTGGCTAAATGACTCATTCTGCTCACACCAGCCTTATAGCACTACATTAAAATTTGGGCTTTCACAGAATTTCACAAATTACTGATATTACCTTTTTTGCTGAAGAGTAATGTGCAGAAGACAAGGGCCTCATCCAGTTTTAAGTGTTTAGGATCAGTGATAGGCTGGAAAATATATTCCCAGAGGCCCAGAGTGGTGGCTCATGCCTGTAATCCCAGCACTTTGGGAGGCTGAGGCTGGAGGATCACTTGAGGCCAGGAGTTTGATCAGCCTGGCCAACATAGCGAAACCCCATCTCTACTAAAAATATCAAAGTTAGCTAGATGTGGTGGCATGTGCCTGTGGTCCCAGCTACTCAGGAGGTTGAAGCATGAGAATTGCTTGAACCTTGTTGCAGTGAGCCAAGATCATGCCACTGCACTCCAGCATGGGCAACAGAGCAAGACTGTCTCAAAAAAAAAAAAATTCCCAGCAAATATAACCCTGGTCTCTATCCCCTGAGATGCTTATTCCATGGGTTTGGGCTAGAACTTGAGAATCGGCATTTTAAAGAGTATTCTGGATGATTTTGGAATATGATCTTGTTTATGAACTCTGGCTTTATTATTAATTGTTAGTTTGGCTTACATAATTAACTGTTTGACAGGTAATATTTTCATATCTCGAACCTCAATCCCAAATGCTGCCTCTGAAGAAGGAGATGAAGATGATTGGGCATCCAACAAAGTTATATTTAAAATAGGTAAGAAAGGTAACCAGATTATTACCCTAAAATAAAGAGAAGGCTGTTTTGTTTTTGCTCTTCACTGTATTTTTTTCAATACTTCCAGGTGATCTTGGACATGTAACAAGGATCTCCAGTCCACAAGTTGAAGAGGGTGATAGTCGTTTTCTTGCAAATGAAGTTTTACAGGAGGTAATTTTTCTTCTCCCTTAATCATAGTTTGCTTTGTAACACTTAGCAGTTGATAGAATAATATAAATTCAGATATACTAAACTTTTAAGTTTAACTAATAGAAGGGAAATACAATCGAAACCATCATCTGAGGGCATTTAATTAGCAAAAAGTCATGAAGGTGAAGATTTATAATGGAGTTGTGGTAAAAAATATGTTCTCATACACCACTGGTGGAACCTTAAAATGGCATATCCTTTTTGGAAATCAGAGTATTAGTATTGCATTAATATTTAAAAATCATGTACCCATTGACTCATAATTTTTACTTCTAGGAGTTTTTCCTATGGACATATTCATATACAAACACAAGTTGAGAACAATGTAAATAAGTGTTTACCAATAAGAGAATGATTAAGTAAATTATAGCACATAGTTTTTAGTATGGCATATAGTTTCAAAAGAGTGTGACAAAGTATTTCTTGATAAAAATTTTGAATGAAAATAGAATAAGTAGAAAAATTTAAAGTGTAATTGTCTGATCCCATTGTTCTTTGTAAATATGTGTGTATATATATGTTTGATTTATCACGTATATGTGTATTTGTAACTTGTCAGTGTGTTTCTACGTGTTTTGTGTTTGCATATGAATCCCTAGAGGTAGGGGGGTTTCTTTTGAGAGTTGAATTGAGCTGTTGATAAAGAAGAGGCGTTTACTTTATATATGTGTGTGCATTTTCCCCCTAAGAGTGTATATTACTTTGTAATTTAAAAAATAAACCTCCCCAAATTTAGCAGTTTATTCTCTGAATAGGTCCCAAACTTAAATGTGATATTAGACATTTTGATTAAGTCTTATTTTTCACCTAAGTCATCTTTGAGGTGTAATCTTGTTTTATTTTGACCATGTTTACATTCCTTAAAAAAATTGTTTTAATTTTACAGAATTACACCCATCTACCAAAAGCAGATATTTTTGCGCTTGCCCTCACAGTGGTATGTGCTGCTGGTGCTGAACCTCTTCCTAGAAATGGAGATCAATGGCATGAAATCAGACAGGGTAGATTACCTCGGATACCGCAAGTGCTTTCCCAAGAATTTACAGAGTTGCTAAAAGTGAGCATTTTATATATGAGGCCCTTTATTGACATGGTTCTATGTTTTATTAAATGCATGTCTGTACGTTAATTTTACTTTTCTTTTTAAGGTTATGATTCATCCAGACCCAGAGAGAAGACCTTCAGCAATGGCACTGGTAAAGCATTCAGTATTGCTGTCCGCTTCTAGAAAGAGTGCAGAACAATTACGAATAGAATTGAATGCTGAAAAATTCAAAAACTCACTTTTACAAAAGTAAGTGAGGGTTTTATGTTTTCTTTTTACTTTTTCATTCGTTTTGATTCTCAAATTTTAATGAGAGATGATTTAAGCTTTCTGTCAACCAAGGGTGTGGTGGTTTTTTGTGTTTTTTGTTTTTTGAGACAGGATCTCACTTTGCCAGGCTGAAGTGCACTGGTGCTATCATGAGTCATTGCAACCTCCACCTCCTGGGCTCAAGCTGTCTTCCTATCTCAGCCTCCTGAGTAGCTGAGCCACAGATGCGTGCCACAACACCCAGCTAATTTTTATATTTTTGTAGAGATGGGGTTTTGCCATGTTGCCCAGGCTGGTCTTGAACTCCTTGGGCTCAAGCCATCCACCTGCCTTGGCCTCCCAAAGTGCTGAGATTATAGGAGTGAGCCACCTTACCCGGCTCCAGTAGTTCTATATGTTGTTATACAGTGAAAGCCTGGGGACTTCTGCCATAAATTAGTATTTGACCTATTAAATTTGTGTTGTTTCTAAACTTTAAAATTATGAACTTTAAAAATGTTGAGACTAACATATATTTGCAAGTGGTGATAGTCCCCAAGCCATAAATGGTAGTAAAAGCTAAGTGAGCCTATACCAATGTTTTCTTCCCAGATTGTCACCAAAAATTAATATTGTCCTTGAAACATTCTATTATTTTATGAAAGGATGAAATTAATGTCAATTTGGTTAGTAGATGATTCTTATACATATGTTTTTAATTTCTGGCTAAATCTTTTTATCCTGAATGAAGATTCTCATATTTGACTTCATGACTGGATATTTTCGAAAAACTGGTTGCAATGGTAAAGGTTATTAAAAAGAGAATATTAGAGAATATTAAGTTACCACAGATCACATTTCTAATTTTTTGATTTATTGCAACCATTTTGCTTTTAACCTAATAAAACTGACTTGAAAAGGTTATGTTAAGTATTAAGATTTAATATTTCAATTTTAAAAAGTGGGCCGGGCGCGGTGGCTCAAGCCTGTAATCCCAGCACTTTGGGAGGCCGAGACGGGCGGATTACGAGGTCAGGAGATCGAGACCATCCTGGCTAACACGGTGAAACCCCGTCTCTACTAAAAAAATATTAAAAATTAGGCGGGCACCTGTAGTCCCAGCTACTCTGGAGGCTGAGGCAGCGTAAACCTGGGAGGCGGAGCTTGCAGTGAGCTGAGATCCAGCCACTGCACTCCAGCCCGGGCAACAGAGCAAGTCTCCGTCTCAAAAAAAAATTCAAAAAGTGTATATTAAGAGGTTTACTTGCCGCTAGTTTGATATCCATCATAGTTCATACAAATAGGAAATAAAGTGTTCCTTTCATCTCTGTTATGTAAGGATAGATTCGCAATATAAATTGGAGTTTTTGAAATTATTGCTTATTTTTAATTTTTTTTTTACTGGGGATAGGTTTGTCTGGAAATTATTTATTATTTATTTATTTAAAAAGATGGGGTCTCGCTCTGTCACCCAGGCTGGAGTGCAGTGGCACTATCGTAGCTCACTGCAGCCTCAAACTCCTGGACTCAAGCAATCTTCCAACCTCAGCTTCCCGAGTAGCTGAGACTATAGGCGTGAGTCACCACATCCAGCTCAAATTATTTTATAAGAACCAAAGTCATTACTAGCATCTTTACTACTTGTTTTCAAGTATATGTGATATTTTAATTCAAAAAGCACAAAATGGCCGGGCGCGGTGGCTCAAGCCTGTAATCCCAGCACTTTGGGAGGCCGAGACGGGCGGATCACGAGGTCAGGAGATCGAGACCATCCTGGCTAACACGGTGAAACCCCGTCTCTATTAAGAAATACAAAAAACTAGCCGGGCGAGGTGGCGGGCGCCTGTAGTCCCAGCTACTCGGGAGGCTGAGGCCGGAGAATGGCGTGAACCCGGGAGGCGGAGCTTGCAGTGAGCTGAGATCTGGCCACTGCACTCCAGCCTGGAAAAAAAAAAAAAAAAAAAAAAGCACAAAATAATTTCATAAATTTAAGTTGTTTTGATAGAAGCTTCAGTTTCATGTTTTATTTTTCAATTATGTCTTAGAATAATGATGGCATGCAAATATCTCCCAATCGACAATATAGTTTGTGTTTAGTTTTTTAGGGTCTCTTCCTAAGAGTAATACCTTGTTTTCTATTTTTATGTCAGAGAACTCAAGAAAGCACAGATGGCAAAAGCTGCAGCTGAGGAAAGAGCACTCTTCACTGACCGGATGGCCACTAGGTCCACCACCCAGAGTAATAGAACATCTCGACTTATTGGAAAGAAAATGAACCGCTCTGTCAGCCTTACTATATACTGAGCTACTCATTTCCCACCTCCCCCTGAACACTGTGACAAGAGGAAGCTAGGTTGAAATCACTGATAGAATCCAGTTTGCAATTACTTTCTCGATTGGTGTCAGTAGTTTTACTGATTAGGACTTTTATTGTGAATTACAGTTGAAAGCTGTATTTTGACCATTGCTATGTCAGGCTTTCATCTAATCTTACCAGTCTGTCTTCTGTAGGATGTGTCACTGTTGGATGTTACACCAGCCTTTCCAGGGTTAACCACTGTGGTGGTGTGCTGCTTATAGTTTGCTGTTGCATTGTAATAAAAGGTGTCTTTCCCTGTAGTGACCTGTAAAAAGTACTGAAGGGCTTTGTTACAGACATACTCTCCCTTTGAAAAGGGACATGCTAAAAGACTCGTTACTACTCAGCCTTCAGTGTACCTTTGTGTCCATCTTGTATTTTTTTAAATTGTGAATTAGACTTGTATATCCCACTGGGAGCACTTTGTAGGCATTGCATGAACCATGGGATGATGATTCTGTGGAAGTATTGCCTTGTGAATTTGCTGCTATTTTAGTTTTGTCTTTGCTGTAAACTTGTAGCATTAAACAATCATTGTTGTTAATAGGTCTTCTTTTTGAAACAATTATGTGAAATGTATAGCTGCTTTTGATGAAAAGCAGCTATTTGCCTTTTTTTTTTCCTTTGAACTTTGAAGCTAGTGCATTGGAAAAATGCACCCTTTCCCCCCTTTGGAATGCTGTATTAATGTAGTATAATAATTACTGGTTTTGTAACTTGTTCTGGTAATGTCCTTCCCTGACTCTTTTAAAATGTCTCCCCTCAAGTTTTGTACTTGATTGTATTATTAGTCTGTTTTTAAATGTTTTGCCCGGTTTCTCTTCAATATTTGTGTATATAAACTGATCTTCGTGATATTGTATATAGCTGTTTGAAATGCCAGAATGACTTCTGACATTCCAAGTTTTTCACAAAATATATTTTATCTGTGATTAGCCATTTGACTAATAATACTGGCTAACAGATGTTGAAAAAAATTGTCTATTGTTTGTTTTCTCATTAATTTTGGTCTAAAACATGTTTGCACTTGTCTTTGACTTGTGTTTTATTAACATTGATTGGCATATTAAAAGTCACTCTGAGCTTACCTTAATTGTCTAAATCCTTGTGATGCCTGTTTTCTAATATTTTATCTCTATTATCACTATACTATAAAATGTATAGTGTGTATAATGTACTATTATAAAAGCAGAGGGCACATTTTGATTGAATATGGAATTTTGTGGTGGGCTTTAGAACAAAGCTACATTTTGCCATTGAAAAATTTACCCATCAACTTTGAATATATTTTGTCATAAATGTTCAGTATTTTTATATCATATTGCATGTTATGCATGTGACTTGCTAGAAATGTAGCATGATGTAATTTAAAATATCTTCAGATTATTAAGTAATACGATTCACGGAAGAAAACTTTGGGGAGGTTTTGTTTTTGTTTTTGAGACAGCGTCTCACTGTATTACCTAGGCTGGAGTGCAGTGGCATGATCTCTGCTCACTGCAACCTCCACCTCCTGGGATCAAGCGATTCTCCTGCCTCAGCCTCCCGAGTAGCTGGGACTACAGGCACGCACCACCACACCCAGCTAATTTTTTGTATTTTTATTAGAGACGGAGTTTCACCATGTTGGCCAGGCTGTTCTCGAACTCCTGACCTCAGGTTATCTGCCTGCTTTGGCCTCCCAAAGTGCTGGGATTATAGGTGCCTGGCCCCTAAAGTGGGGAGGGTTTTAATTCTCACTAAACTAGGCTGGGTTTTAAGATTTGAGGCGAGGTGTCTTGGCTCATGCCTGTAATACCCACCACTTTGGGAGGCCAAGGCAGGAGGATTGCTTGGGGCCAAGAGTTCGAGACCAACCTGGGCAACACAGTGAGACCCTATCTCTACAAAAAAACAAAAGAATTGAGTGCAAATTGAACTGATAGTGTTATTTCTATGGTATCTTTTTCTGATGTTGATTAGAATCAGAGATGGGGACTCATTGTTGCTTAGGCTGGTCTTGAGCCCCTGAGCCCAAGAGATCCTCCTGCCTCTGGAGTAACTGGGACTATGAGTGTGTGTAATCATGCCCAACCTCTGCCATAAATACTTCTAACAAACTTGATTATATTAGCTTTCTAGTCTATGGTATCTTAAAATTTAGAGGTGTGAGATGAATTGGTGCAGACAGAAGAATTAGATATAAAAGCTGGTGAGTATGTGTGATAAGACCTAAAAAGCTACAGGAACTGGAGCATGCAACTCACACCTTTTAGTAGCTACTGATGACAAAGCTATAAAAAGATCACGATAATTGGGCTGGGTGCTGTGGCTTGCACCTATAAAATAAGCTACGATGCTGCCATTGCATTCCAGCCTGGGTTACAGAGTGAGAACCTGTGTCCTAAAATATATATAATTGGTGTTAATTTATGATCATTTTAAGTCACTAAGGTGTATTTTTCCAGTGCACTAGCTTCAAAGAAACATTCAGGTGTTTTTCATCAATATTTGCAGTAAAATTTTCACATAAGAATATTGGATTAAGAAGGAAAACTGATATTTGGTGTTCAAAGAGGGAATTCTTAGGCCATCTAAAAGCTGATATGAGAGTTAGACTCATATTTAACCTAAAGGTACTTTTGTTGAGTGCTATGTGTTGACTATATAGTAGACCAAAGACCAGTAAGAATTAGTTTTTGCCCACTAGGATATCAGGAAAAAATAGAGGAGACTTTTGTAAATATATAATGACAATAAAATGTAATAAATGCTAATGCTGGAGGGATTGTGCAAGGTAGAATGAAGGTTCGAAAGACTATACATATCTTATGAAGATACTGGTGGTAGATTGGAGAATAGATCCAGGGAATTATGTTCAGACTAGTTTCAAGATTATTGTATAGTAATGACTATACAAGAAAGGAGGGCCTGAACTAGGACCTTGCTGTGGATAGAAAATAAGTGGATAGGGATTTTCTTTGAACAGTTTGAAACTTTGAATAGTTTTTGTTTGTTGCTAAGATTGAAGCATTGAAGGTTTTTTCAGAACACTTAACTAAAATGCAGGGGTATGTTACTGTTTGAGACAGGTATTCGCCATCGATAAAACTTTTCTTTTTTGGAAAGCTGACTTTGGTAAGGTAGAAAATTTTTAAGTATTGACTATGCAGTTGGGTAGGAGGTATTACATATTGTGATTGACTGCAAATTGAAACTGTTGCCTTAACTTTATCCTGCCAAGAATACAAGAGCAGTAGGCTTTAATTAATGAACTAATGTATTTTGAAGAGTCCATTATTAAGCTTTGATTTTCACTCCACTTTGTTCTGGAAGTCAAGAAACTATGGTATTTTTTTGAGGCCAGGCACAGTGGCTCAAGCCTGTAATCCCAGCACTTTGGGAAGCCAAGGTGGGCGGATCATGAGGTCAGGAGTTCAAGACCAGCCTGGCCAAGATGGTGAAACTCCATCTCTACTAAAACTACTAAAATTAGCCGGGTGTGGTGGCACGTGCCTGTAATCCCAGCTACTTGGGAGGCTGAGGCAGAGAATTGCTTGAACCCCGGAGGTGGAGGTTGCAGTGAGCCAAGATCATGCCACTGCACTCCAGCCTGGGCAACAGAGCGAGACTCCTTCTCAAAAAAAAAAAAAAAAAAAAAAAAAAGCAGGGCATGGTGGCTCACGCCTGTAATCCCAGCACTTTGGGAGGCTGAGGTGGGCAGATCACCTGAGTTCAGGAGTTTGAGACCAGCCTGACCCACATGGAGAAACCCTGTCTCTACTAAAATTACAAAATTAGCCGGGCATGGTGACCCATGCCTGTAATCCCAGCTACTCAGGAGACTGAGGCAGGAGAATTGCTTGAACCCAGGACGGGGAGGTTGCGGTGAGCCGAGATTGCGCCATTGCACTCCAGCCTGGGCAACGAGAGTGAAACTCCGTCTCAAGAAAAGAAACTATGGCATTTTTTAAAAAGTTCATAACAGCTAGGTTTAATGCTAACTGTCCTGGGATGCTCCAGGCTGTCTCCCAATTCTTAAGCAGCAGCATCCTGACAATAGAGTAGTTTTCCTTCTTCCCCAATCTTTACAAAGCATCTCACTGACTTTGACCAACAGAGCAAATAAGCTGTTGCATTTTTTTTTCTAAGTTGGCTTGCTACAGAATTTGTTGCATTCTTAAGGTATCTTTATTTGTGAAATTTGCAAAGGCCAATTAAAGCCTTAATACAAGGAGGATAGACCAAAAAAGAATTTTGTAAGTGTTTTGGATATCATGTAAATCTTAAGTGAAGCCTGGAACTAGGAATTTGGAGGAAACTGCCTCATTCAGTATTTTTGAAGGTATTTGTATAACTGTAAAAAGCATCACTGAAACTGACACTGCAGAGTAAGTGAATCTAGAAATTTCTCTTGCAAACTGATACTATTGCTGGACATTTCTTGGAAGCTCAGCAAAGTAGATGTTTATAAAAATGGAAGAATAAGACATCATTGAAACTGTCCCTGTCCCAACATTTAACATTCAAAAACTTTTGAGAGGCATTCATCTGAACGTCACTGAACTTTCTTTTTTCTTTGTGGCAGATGACCCTAATTTTCAATGCAAATTCAAAGGTCTCTGGAGTAAGGAAAAATATCTATGTATGCCCTAGGAAGATTCACCAGGAAAAGATGGCATGTTGTGTCCAAACTTCATTAAACTAAGAGTCAAAGAAACTTCAGCCAGTCCAGTCCATGAAGAAAAATACCTCAAAGGAACATTTACATCACAGTTCACATTGTTTAGTTTTATATGGTTAATAAACATTTTGAACAGCATATATTTGTTCTGATTTTTGACATAGTTATGGTATGAAACAGGTTTCCAGGCCTGGAATTCCAATTTATGCTTACTAATTCATTATGCCAATGGGAAATACAGTTTTTTTGTTTGTTTGTTTTGTTTTTGAGACGGAGTCTCACTCTGTTGCCCAGGCTGCAGTGCAGTGGCACAATCTTGGCTCACCACAACCTCCGTCTGCCAGGTTCAAGCGATTCTCCTGCCTCAGCCTCCCAAGTAGCTGGGACTACAGGCACCCGCCACCATGCCTGGCTAATTTTTTGTATTTTTAGTAGAGACAGGGTTTCACTATGTTGGTCTAGAACTCCTGGCCTTGTGATCTGCCTGCCTCAGCCTCCCAAAGTGCTGGGATTACAGGCGTGAGCCACCGCACCCGGCCTGGAAATATAGGTTTGGTATACAATTCAATTTAGGATGACTATCCAGGAGAGGAGGAACTTTCTTGCAGGTGAAAGTATGAAGGCTCAAGGGAGTAAAATAATTTAGGAAATCAATTTAGTAGGTAGCAGAGTCAGAATTCCAACTCAGATCTCATAGTAAAGAATCATGCTTTTGGCTGGGGGCGGTGGCTCAAGCCTGTAATCCCAGCACTTTGGGAGGCCGAGACGGGCGGATCACGAGGTCAGGAGATCGAGACCATCCTGGCTAACACAGTGAAACCCCGTCTCTACTAAAAAATACAAAAAACTAGCTGGGTGAGGTGGCGGGTGCCTGTAGTCCCAGCTACTCGGGAGGCTGAGGCAGGAGAATGGCATGAACCCAGGAGGCGGAGCTTGCAGTGAGCTGAGATCCGGCCACTGCACTCCAGCCCGGGCGACAGAGCGAGACTCCGTCTCAAAAAAAAAAAAAAAAAATTATGCTTTTTCTAGACATATGAAAGTTGAAGACAAATACTAATTAAAGAGGTGATCCCCAACCTTTTGGGCACCAGGGACTGGTTTTGTGGAAGACAATTTTTTCACCGGGATTGAGGGGTTGCAGGGGAATGGTTTCAAGATGATTCAAGCATCTTACGTTTATTGTGCACTTTATTTCTATTATTATTACATTGTAATATATAATGAAATAATTATACAACTCACCATAATGTAAATCAGTGGGAGCCCTGACCTTGTTTTCCTGCAACTGGTTGGTCCCGTCTTGGGGTGATGAGAGATAGTGACACATCATCAGGGATTACGTTCTTATAAGAAGCATGCAACCTAGATCCCTCCCATGTGCAGTTCACAATAGAGTTCGTGCTCCTATGAGAATCTAATGCCATGGCTGATCTGATGGG